TACCATAAGACAGAGAAGAAGATGGTGCAGCTCCAGACCGCGTCAGGCATGTCGTGGATCGAGGTCCAGTATCTCAACCAGGCCTCGCAGACACTGCAAACCTGTCGACAGACCCTCAAGTGGACATACGCCTTTGCCTTCTACCTTGCCCGCAACAATTTGACGTCCATCTTCGAGGACAATCAAAAGGATTTGGAGATGGCGGTTGAGGCACTGTCAGAAATGTTCGAGAAGCCCGTCACAGAGCTGTGTGACAAGAAGCTGAAGGTCGACATCATGGACAAGACGTCGTACTGCAAGAAGCGACGCATCATTCTTCTGGAGGATACCGCCGATAATTTGGCCAACGGTAAGCTTAGCATTAACAAACATCTTTATCATTTCTAACACTCCCTCAGGTCGCTGGACTTTCAACGTTGATCTGACCGGTCCTATGCCATCCGCTGCCACGGGCAGCCGCCGTTGAATCACGCGGTGACTCACACGAATACATGAGAAACGGCTTGAGTGTGTAGAAAGAACGCTTAGCGCTTTATTATTGGTGGAAGGCTCATCAATCTTCTCGGTAACGGCATTGGAGGCTACAAGATCATGACAGGTTTTTTTTTTTCTCTCTTCTTTCTCAAGGGACGGATAACTCGGCGTGAGGAGAAGCGCATCACGGGCATTGTATGGAATGGAATTTTGGTAGCAATCCGTGTGTCCCAGGCACAGCGGCAATCATTACGCAGCACATCACTGTCATCGTCGTCTCTGCTGCTGCCGTCCCCTACATCGTGCTTGACTCTCTGAACTTACGAGAACCCAGGCGATGGGTGTCATTCAAAACCCACCGTTTTCGGCCAAGTCGCGGCTTGAGTTCGTGCGTCCACCATGCCATCTTTCCCATCCGTGACCTTCCTTCTTGTTGCTGCTTCGAATCATTGCCACGCAAATCTATGGATTTCAAAGTTTTCGCCTTCTCGTCGGTCTACTCGTCGTCCATGACTATCATGACTCGCGGTGTGTGTGTGTGGTCTACCTAGCGGCACCACTGAACGCCGCAACTATGACAATTGGCCCGAGGTCGCAGACAGGCCTTGCCTGTCCCGTAGGTACCCAAGTGGCCGGGCGTCCCTCCTGACGCAGCGTCACGCAGGGAATGGAGGAGGGGCGAAATGCAGGAATCGAACTCAGCGGAACCCCGTCCGGCGGGTTCCGTCCGGGCGTCAGCCTCATCAGTCTCGTCAATGTAACAGCAAACCACATTCACGTCACATCACGGCTGCTCACTCCATCATCCACGGTCGCGAACGAGACTTTTCTTGACACCTTGCTAATGGGTTTCCGTCCATGATATATTTCCTACCCGCCGTTAAAGACTCCTACTACGCCTCAAGAAATGCATACAAAAAAAGCCGGTCTCCGTCCAGGCTCATAATCCTTCGCCACCAATGATAAACCTTTTTCCAGGCGTGCGGGGGGAAAATGCTGCTTCTCATTCCATACAGCGTTGAAAGTCCAAATGCTCTCTCCTTGATGCTTCCATTAACCTCTTAAAAATGCATCCCATCCTTGGGGGGATATCATGATGATTGTGCACTGATAGCACAGCCAGACCGGCCACTTGGGAGATGACTGGTCGCGCTCGCAGAAAACCAATAAAACAACGTCGCGATATGGGTATCGCGTCGACACATGACAGAAGACTCAGCCGTACACGAACCGGGAGAGGTTCAAGCCTCTGGGCCGCTCTTCAACTTCGTCAGATCGGAAGACATCATCGTCGTTCTCACCGTCGCTGTCGTGGACGATTTGATCCTCACTCCCGCACGGCGCGTTGAGAGCCTCGACTTCTGCGAGGTCGACCTTGGGCAGCGGCACGAACGAGGGGTTAACAGGCATCGACTTCAGCAGCCGGCTCTTCCGGGGACTGCGCTTGGGGCTGCGCTGGATTGCACTCTTGGTGGGAGACAGGGCCCGGCGCGGCGGGGTGTTCTTTCGCTGGAGGGCCCGGGCGCCGATGCGTTGGAGCGGTGTGAGCATCGGGGTTGCCTTCGCCGCTGCGGTCGAGCCGGCGGAGAAGGTGACTGAGGAGGCTGCGGTGGACGGGGCGGCGGTGGATGGTGTGAAAATGGATGATTGTCTCGAAACAGCGGTTGCAGGGGTATCGGGCAGACTCGAAGCGGCAGGGCTCGGCTGAGAGAACGCGAACCTCTGCAAAGACGACCGCCTGGAGCTCGTCTCCGGCGCGGGCTTCTTTTCGGGCAGCTCCTCCACTTCGGACAGGTCACTGAGCGGGGTTGTCGCTATCTCTTCGTCCTTGCTGAACTGACTGTCCGCGCCGGTCGCCTCGGTGCCTTGACTCTCCTCTGTGCTCTGGCTTTCCTCAAACACTGTGATTGACTTTGGTTTAGGGTTGTGCCACGCGTCAATGTCCGCGAGGTTCAGCAACGCCTCGTCGATGGAGTCGTCAGAGAACAAGAAGCCGTCTTTCTTGCTCTTCTTTGTCGTTTCGTTCTTCGGGAAGAACTTGCTCTTTTGGGATTCCTCAGATTTCGTTTCGGCTTCGTCTGCGTCCGCGCAGAGGCGGACCTTCTTTGGCGGGCGTTGAGAGCTGCTCTTCATCAACGCATCGATTTCGTCCATGGTATTCGTCGAGTCGCCGAGCGTGATGCGACGAGAATCAGAACTGGATGGAGCGTACTGCTCCAGCATGTTCTTGATGGGTTCTGTCCGCCGTCGAAGTAGACGTGGAGAGATTGTTGAACGGGCGGTTCGTGTAGGGCGAGATTCGGTTGGTTGTGAGGATGGGCCTTCGATATATGGTCTGGGCAGCGGAAAGACGCGGGGTACTAGGCCGTTATGGGTGAGGGCGGCAACGCGCTCTGGGTCGACAGAGAAACAGTTGCTATCCATTTCGCCCATGGGAATACGCTGATGGCCCTTGAAGTAGGAATCGATAGGCTTGGCGGCTTGTCGTGTGCGGTTCGAAGAGGCTGCGAGAGCCTCGGCGGACTGAGAGTGTCTCCTCTTAGAGTCGGACTTGGGCGGATTGCCTCCGGGCATGGGAGCAGGGATAATGGTCTCCTTGGTCATTGGGTTGACATCTCCAACAGCGACGGCCGTGGCCATCTCAGGTTCGACATAAGCACCAATGAACGGCATATCCTCAACACCCTTACCCGCTTCGGGCTCGGTCAGGAACACCATCTCCTTCTTTGTCGGACAGTAGACTCTCTGGTGGAGGAACGTCAGCTCGGCCTGGAAGAATCGCGGCAGGTAGTTCTCCGAGATGCGGTGCTTTCCTTCGAACTGGCACATGCGGACCAATCGTTCTGGCGTCTTATACTTGCGCAACATCCGGTAAGCCGTCTTTAGTCCCATATTGTTGATACCCTCGAGGTAATCACAGCCGCTCAGAATGGCCATGCGCCGAAAGTCGGTATCCGACCAGCCCGTCAACGACACCTCCCGACATGCGCAAAAGTCTCTGCGATTGATCTCGATACAGTTGCCGTACTGGTCGAGCTTCGTCAAGAGCCGCTTGCATCCGAAAACCAACAGATCCGAGTCTTCGGATAGAATGCCGTCGATCAGGCCTTGGCGTTCGAGGTAGACGAGCTGAGCATCTGCTTCGTACGGTGCAACGACGTACGAGACATCCAGCTTTTTCAATTCGTCGATGAGATTGCGGGCCATTTCTGGTGTCACGTCGATGGCCTTCTGAAACTCGAGGTGCGCTTGGGAGGGCTTTCCGGCCTTGAGCAGCTCCATAGCCGTCTTCTTGCTCTCATCGCGGCGTTTAGCTCTGGATCCTTCGGTGGCTGCCTTGCTGGGTAGGAAGTCGCCATCAAAGACAAGGTAGGGCTTGACACCAAAGTGCAGAAGCATCCTTACCCTGTGCATGGCGAAGTCGACATATCTGAGGCAGGGTTAGGTCACATCCGATGGCAACCTGGAATGGACGTTTAGACTTACTTGCGTGTGGGGGTGCCTTGGGCCAGGTCCACGGCGCATGCAATGGCTCCGCGGTGAAGCCATCCGTAGGCGTCGACACCGAGCGTTTCGCCCTTGAATTTCTTGAGCTCGACGGGTCTGTGGATGGACTTGAGCAGCGGGAGAAGGCCTAGTAGAGGTGAGTAACGCAATGCACGAGGTCCCGAGGCAAGGGAGAGCAAGTACCTGAGACGCCCATTGTTGATCCAAGGGAACGGCTTGCAGGCCCTCAAAGTGCAGAGCAGAAGTTTCGAGGGCTGGAGATCGCTCTCGATCCGGTTTTCAGGCCAACAGCCGGACTGACAAAGGTGAAAACAATGCTTTAGGCCATCCGTTGAGAGGCAAAGACGCGTAAAGAGGGTGGATTCGCGGAGTTGTGAAGGTCGATACGCCAAGTCAGGTGATCCGGGGGCAAATGTAAACAAAGACACTCGGCGCTATGTTTGCGGATTAGTTGCGGGCGGGAGTTGGAGTCGACTATCTACGGCGGGCGACGTTCGGAAGAGAGCTGGGAAGTTTAGTCGGAGCTGGAGGACTAGAATTCACCGACGAAGGTGAAGTCAGAGGAGAGAAGGTGTGCAGGTGGAGTGAATCGCGGGCATCCTGCACAGGAAAGGGACGTCCGGGGGGACCTGGTCCTGCTATATTGGAACGCGGTGTGTCCACCCGCGTCAAGTCATATCGCGACTCTTTTTTTGCTGTGGCCTGGGCACAGAGGAGTTCCCCGAAAGGGACTAGCGCCAGAAGCTCGGGATTTCCAGAGCAACGTCACTGGTTCCTGATCCGGCTGAAGATTATTGGACCCTTTCCGAATTTAGTGGGGCGACTGCTTTTTTCACAGAGTGCTTGCAGCTCAGAGGATGGGATTTTTCGCCGTGGGGCACAGACAGCAGACCGACACCCAAAGCAGTGCGCAGTCGAGAGACATCTCAATCATTTCGTTCTCAATCTTTCTGTGTCTCACTGTCGAATTTTCTTTAACTCTCCTGGCACGTCATTTGACCAGCCATATCACCGTCAGAATGCCTACCACGTTGTCAAAGACCCGCAAGCAGATTGCCAAGAAGCGCAACGGACATGTCGATGCACTGCACGAGTTTTCCAGAGACTCCAAGCGTCTTCACAAGGCATCGGTGAGAGACGATAAGCTGCAGAAGCTTGCGGCCACCAGAGGAAAGAAGGAGCAGCCCATGCGTAAGACAGCTCATTTCGCAGCAGACAACGAGCTGAAAGCTGACCTGCCACAGTCACCCGTGCTTCTTACTTCCAAAAGGCTATTCAGGAGAAGGGCTCTAAGCCGCTCGACCTCGCCACTATCCAGGAGCTCATTCACGAGTGCGTCCATATTGCCATTTCCGAAGACTTCAAGTCTGACCTTTTCCAGTTTTGTGCATCAGTATGATGAAGAGTACGCCGAGGTCAAGAAGACCCGCCGTCCGGGCCGCCCTGCGAGCGCCAAGGAGGACTTGCTCAAGCTGAAGATCTCCACCCTTGAAGACGAATACAAGGGAAACGGCTTCTGTAAGTTCTGCTATGAATGCATCGGCTATGGGGTGACTAACAAGCCCTAGACCTTCCTGACCTCACAAATGACTCCAACATCCTGATGCTCGATCGCTGGGAGGGCTCTTGGGCCTACCTCGCTTCCGTTGCGTGGGTGAGGATAAATGCCGACGGCAACATCAAGAAGTCCAGCTTCCCGCCCAAGGGCAGCTCCTAGATCATGACAGCATCACAGCGGCGTTTCTGGCGTTTGGAATCGGGAAAAGGCAGTTCAGGGGAGCAAACAGCGCATCATTCGGGAAAAGGGCACAGCCTTTCGGCTGTAGTTTCTGAGTACGGCTCTACGGTGTATTTGCGGGGGTTCTTTCGCGGGCCAGCTGTCTGAGACAAACATGCGCCGTGACAGGAGTCTCGTTTGGTCAACAGACAATTTCTCCGGTTACATACAGCAATGCCGTATGAGAACACGGAGGCGAAAGCTCGGATCACAGCAGGCCATGCGCGGCCAAACCACTGGATCGCCGACCTTCGCCTGCATGTTCTCTCCGCGCCTGTTACACAGGGCATCGGCGGGCGGCCCGGCGGCAAACGTGGGTGGCATGTGGCGTTCTGGGGATAGTGCCGGCTCGACCGCATCCTCTGGGACTGCTGTATCCGTTTGGCAAGCAATTAGACGGTATCATGTAGAGAGCAAACGTGGTGATCTCGTTTGAAACACACTCGGTAGATGCCGCAGGCAAGGCTGGAACACGATCCATCGATCTCCCGGCCCAATATCAACCCACACCTGGCTTTCGTCGAAGAATCATTGGGCTGCCATGTCGCACATCAAGTGACGATTATGTTGCCGTCCGCGGTCCCTGTAGATTGTCTGATGACTGACGTCTATTTCTCCTTGTTCCAAAGGTGGCTACCCGGTCCAGAGCGCGGCTGCGATCTGCCCCGAGCCTCCTGGACCAGACTACTGGAACCACGTTGTTCGCCAAACAGGCCTGTCCCAAGCGGTGCCTCTCGTCTCATAACTCAACCCAGATCTCTCATCCTGTCCCAGGTGCTACATTGCACAGGCGACCTCGCCATCCTCTTGAAGACGGCTAGACGCTTCCAGCTCTCTGACCGCGGTGAGCACTGCCCCTGGAAGCATCTCCACTTGACTCACCCCCCGAACCCTCCGTGGCAAGACTTCGTGGAGGATGCCGTAGCAGACCGCGCGATGTCGAAGGATCTGGATGCCGGTGCTTACTGCCTGGGATCGTTCGAGTCCCGGTACCACGAGGTCGGGCTGGCTTGTTTGGGCTTCCCAAGAACGTGGCTACAAAAGTGCTCAAGTGTAGATATATCTCGGATGATCTTCACTGTCATCCGGCTGTCATCTACCCCTCGCCATTCTCAGCAACCCCTCCGTCGATCTTACTGATCTGCCCTGCCTACACCCGCAACTATCCGATTGAACCTCTTGCTCCTCCAAGTGAGTCCTGATAAGCACCGATGGTCGAATCTCACTGACAGTCGTTGTAGCAACATGTGCAAATACGTCACTCATCTGCGCGTCTGCAACGTCTGCAGCCATGAAGATACTGTCCTCATCTCAGAGAGGTTATGCATGCTTGCCAAGAGGAACGGGGTCTTTGGGAGTTGTGATTCAGGGATCGGCAGTGACAGCAACAGCACCAGACACCACTGTTGGAAGTGCAAGGAGAGGATCCGCCGGGTCCCACGGGCATCATCGGCATTGCATCGTGTCAGTCTACATTGATGAAAGACTCTAAGGGAAGGCAAACAAAACTTGAGCTACAAGGCGTTCAAAAGGATAGACGGACTGGTCACCAACAACTCTTCCCAGTGATGCTGGCATCGCCCTTGGGTTTGAGCCGGAGGAGACAAACAGGCAGATTGGGATCTGGAGATCTCAGGAATCAGGGCGGCCCCTGTCATTACCAGTTTAAGCTTAGGCAAGAACATTAATGATTTTTTTTGAACATGATTCTTCGGTGGAGTCCTTCGAGAAAGAGTGGAGGTTGATGTCGTTCAGCTGCAGTGTGAGTTGTCGTGCTGCAAGCATCGGAACAACATTTCGCCGGTACACTCAGCGGCTGGTCTGATCTCAAAATTTTTGGGAAGGTTCCAAAGCTTCTGCAGAGATCGATTTACCCACTCCACCCCAAAGCCTTTCTTCCATTGTCAAATAACACCACGTTCGACAAGTAGACGCAACGCCAGCCAAAATGCTTTCCATCAGATCCATCGCGCGCTCTGCGCCCAGAACTCTTACCCGCCTCTCGGCCACCTCTCTCAGACAGAGCGCCCGCCCCAGCGCATTCGTCAAGGCCTCATCATTTGGCGCCGTCCAGCGCGCTTCCGCCTTCTCCAGCTCCGCCTTCAGGAAAGCCCCTGCCGGCGAGACCGATGCTGAGCTTCTCGCCAAGCTCGAGAGCGAGCTGTCGTTCGAGGACGAGGTCAAGCAGAACGAGCAGCTGCCCGCCAGCGTTAAGGACTTCCTCGACAACAGCCCGTTTGAGCTCCACGACACCCCCGGCAAGGAGGAGGTCAAGCTTACCCGCAAGTTTGGCGAGGAGAAGTGAGTGTCTCAATGCGCAGCTGTCTATGCGCCTCGATATACTGACAACATGCAGGATCACCGTCACCTTCTCCATCGCCGACCTCGCCAACTACGACCCCGAGATGTACGAGCAGGACCGCGCCCTGGATGACGAGTACGACCCCTCCGAGCCCCAGACCAAGCAGAACGGCGCCCGTTCTGCCAACCCCGAGGAGGACATCGAGGACGAGGAGGGCGAGCTGGACGAGGCCGCTCCCCCTTGCCGCCTGAGCATCGTCGTCGAGAAGCCTGGCAAGGCCGACGGCGCCCTTAACATCGACGCCACCGCCCAGGACGGCGCCATCACCGTCGAGAACATGTACTACTACGAGGACGGCAAGCTGGCCCACGGCTCCTCCGCCGACATCGCCCACGCCCGCGCCGACGTCTACCCCGGACCCCCCTTCGGCAGCCTCGACGAGGACCTGCAGATCCTGATGGAGCGCTACCTCGAGGAGCGCGGCATCACCCAGGCCCTGGCCATCTTTGCCCCCGACTACATTGACGTCAAGGAGCAGAAGGAGTACGTCCGCTGGTTGAAGAACGTCAAGGGCTTCGTCAACGCCTAAACAGGACTTGACTGCCCATGCGGGGAAACGAAACAAAAAAAGGTGAAGAGAAAATGAAATGCAGAGAGATATCTTGACGACGCATGACGGCGGGGGATTGTAAGATGAAACGAAACTTACCTAAAAAGGCTTTTCTTGGCTTGTCTTATAGCTGTTCCACTCACGATGTACCATACCACGGCCTGGCTGGCACGCCAGATGCCCAACATAAGAAACTGTAATACAAACAAAACAAAAATTCTCCTTTACGTCGGGCTTTGGTCCACCGTGACTACAGTATGTGACTTGCATCAGACTGAAAAAAGATAACCCTGTGAGATGCCTCCCGGCCCCGTTCAGATCCGCTGCCTCGAGTCTACCTTTCGTAGTCGCCGTTCAATCCCCACAACGCATGACCCTTGACGATGGAATCGCATTGCGATTGCTGGTTGCCTAAGAGTCGGATGATGAATACTTTCACCCATTTCATCTCTAGCTTGTTATTTCCCCACAACGTCGTCCCCGGCTCAACGGTATCATAAAATCACCTGTGGAGGTCAAAAAGGAACTGAACGCAAGCAACAAGACATATAACACTAGGCATTCGCTAGTTATCACCAACCTAACTACTACTCTAGCCCTCACTAGCTTCATCTAGATAGAGCAGGGGCAGTATCTTTTATAATAGCTTTACTAACCTAAAGTAGCAGGTACAATTCTAGTAAATAAATAGTATCTTTATGATCCTCTCTAGTATTAAGCGTAACCACTTAAACCAGCCCGTTAGTCACTGTCTGAAGATGTTTCGTCCTCTTCCTCCTTTGCCTTTCGCGACCTCCAGCTCTTGGGCTGCTCACGTCCCCTATTCCGGCCTGGCTTCTCGATCTGCTTCTCCTCGTCTTCCTCCTCCTCCTCATCCTCCTCCTGCTCCTTCACTTCGGGCTCCCTCTTCTTTGCCTTGCGACTTGGCGCTGGGGACGACATCGCCTCGTCATCGCCGTGGTTGACGCGCCGACGGCTCCTGAGCGCGCTCTTGGGGGTCCCGTTGGTCTTGGGGGTTCGGGGCACAGCCTCGTGGCGCGCTGTTGGGTCGTGACTGTCCTTCCGCCACAGCTCCATCTCCGCTCGCTCGCCGTCATCTCCTCTGCACTCGACCACTAAAAAGATTCGCTGTAAGCGGGGTGGTCCATCACTAAAAACCGGTATGGTCACCAGGTATGAAGCAAAAGAAAACTCACAATAGTCTTCGAACTCGTTGACGACCTTGGCGACCTTCTCGAAATGTTCGCAGGTAAGCTGGATCTCTGAGTACTTAGGCTTCTTCTTTGCGAGGGCCTGCTCCTCGGTGAGCCCCCTTTTCTCGAGCAGCTCTAGGCGCTCGAAGGTAGCGAGTGCGATGGCTGTCTGGAAGGCGTTGCGGATCTGCCGCCCGTTCCATGTCGCCGTGCTTGTCGGGCTCAAGCCGTCTGCTCTTCGGCTCCTGTTCTCTTCGAAGTGCTCCAGAGCCCATGCTTCCAGCTCATCCTTGTCGAAGGTGACCGGGAGCTTCTTCGTCATATTCTCCTCGCCGATCTTGCGCATAATATTGCGCCATATCTGCACTGTGCCCTTTAGGTCGATTGCCTTGTACCGCAGCGCTATGCGGATCCGGGACTTGAAGGCTTCGTCAATGAGCCCCTCTCGATTGGACGTTAGGAACAGCACGCCCGAGTAGTACTCGAGGTTCCGGAGGAAGACTAGCTTGCATTTAGTCATTGCCCCGATGATTCTCCGTTTGTGATGAGTTTGACTTACCGGAGACGATCCCGTTCCGGCTGAGATCGCGGATGTCTCGCTCGGCGAGGTAGACGTCGGCCTCGTCCAGTAACAGAACGCAGTTCCATCTATGAGCCAATGTGAAGTGGTTATCTAAGTTTTTCTGTATTTCTACTGGTTCCGAACCGAGGTCTCCGCAGGTCTTGAGGAACAGAATTAGTCGACGAAGAGTGTTCCGTAGACTTTAATGCCGAACTTACAATGGGATAGAGTGGTCGGGCTGGGGTAGTGCATGCTGCGATTGTCTCTGCAGTGCTGGTCTGCTGAGTAGTTAGTCCCATACCCTTCGAGTTCACTGCACCGTTGAGGTCGCCTTATTGATGCTTCATGTTTTCTCACCTTTCCAACACCTGGTGGGCCGTACAGAAAGATGATGAGTCCCTTTCCCTTGCCTTTCACAAGGTCGATCTCAACCGCGGCGTCTGCAGTCTCCAACTTCGAGTCCTGGCTCTTTGAGGCATGGGTCTTCACCATGGCTTTGAGCAGGTTCTTCGTCTCCGTAGGCAGTACTAGGTCATTGAAAGCCTGTTGGCGTTGCTTAGCTGAGATGGAGACGAATTCAAATATCCCAGGATCGAGACGAACTGAAACTTTGTCAGCAACTAGTCTTGTTTTTGGAAGTCATCTCGGGATGCCTCGGGCCCTTGACTTACACCATTCCTTTGACCGGAGCCCATAACCCAGCAGCGCAGCCGGGAGCATGGCCAGCTGGTTCTCATCTAGCCCCGACATGTCATTGTTGACGAGCTCAAGGATGTACTCCTTCTTGCCAATGAACTTCGCAGCGCGGTGGAAGTTCAAAGCCTCGTCGCTGATGTTACAAGAGTTGCAGATTTTTGACTCGCAGTCGTCGACGCTGCACCGAGGCTCCCAAGTCGACTTATCGTCGCGGTCCGGTAAGTAAAGTACCTCGTCAGAGTCGTCGATCCAGTCTCGGTTGCGGTTGAACTCGTGTCCCGTTTTGAAGTCGACAAAGACGTCTTCGTTGATGTGTCGCGGGTCCTTCCCCAGAGTCGTCCCGTTGTACGTCCCATGCCCGTATAGACAACGCTGAAACGTGTTCCCGCGAGCAACGAGCTCGGTGACGACCGGGTCATTGGACTTGCAGAGTTTCTTGGGAAAAAAAGGCAGGTCTTGAATGCTCTTTTCCCCATCGAACAGGGTTATGGACTTCGTCGCCTCCAACGGCATTAACCGGGAACCGTCGTAACTCCAGCTATAGCAGTGAAGCTTGAGATCGCTGTACGACGGCCCGTGCTGCTTGTGGTCGCTCGTCTGCGCATGCGACTGACACCTCAGACAGGGACGGCCGCCAGTAACGCAGAAGATTTTGTAGGCGTTGTACTTTTTCGACCCCGTCGGTTCTTGGCCAAAGATAATGTCGCCGGGTTGGTACAGGAACCAGAGATTTGCGAAGGAGATTTTCTCCATGGTCCGTTCTGTAATGCTTGACTGCAGGCTGATGAGAGAACCGAGAAACTTCTCCGACATGTCAATGAAACATCGCAGAAGAACAATGTCTCTCTTTTTGTTTTCCAAGGCCTTCGTATCGCCGTCGGAATCGTCCCGGGATTCGGGAGGCCAGGGTGCCGCACCGAGCATCTCGCTAGTGATGCCGTCCACCGTTATCTTGGACTCGATTGCGAAAGATTTTTCGAGATCTCCTAGCGTCTCTTTCAGCTTATCGTGATGTGATACAAAGACCTGCCTCGTCAGGTTAGTCTTGAAGCCCTGTAGTAGGCGCCTTCACCCTGAATATTCGCCTGACGATGTGCCAACCTCGGTCATATACTTGCCTTGTAAGGGT